TCTAATTTCAATTTTTATTTGTTTTTATTAATTTTTCATCTTTTTTTGCATTCTCCATTGATATTCTAGGCTTTTGGAAATTGACAAAAGGCAGTGTGCTGATTGAAGCTGGAAAAGGGCAGGAGTAGATATTTGAGTTATGAATCCAATTCATAAACATCAAAAATGAAAAATTATTAAGAGTTATTGATTTGCAGTTTGAACTGCAAAATAAAGATGATTTGTTTAGGAAAAACTTTCAATATTAGGGGTCAGTCTTCATCCAACAATCTTTGTTGTGTAATTTAGATTATATAACAATTTTTTCAACCCTAAATGCTAAAAATGAACAAATTAATATCTTAAGATTGAAGGCTGTTAACGGATAAGAGTTTGGGACTTTAAATTAAAGGTATCATGTTGGAATATCAAGAGGAGGGGTGAGGGTTTCAGCAAAGGGAATGACATGCCTATTGTATGGCTCACTTTTATGATGTAAAAGGAAATTAAGAAAAGAAAAAAACCAAACGAAACAGATTAATGCTATGGTGGGGGAGAAATTAAAGGTGACCTTGTCAATGAGTTCTTCAGCTTGTTCTGCCTTTGTCGCTGTTTCTTCAGCAAGATTTTGAACTGATTCTACGGCTTCCTTGAGCATTGTATCATCCGGAAGCTTATCTGCCGCCTCATCACTCACCTTTGCTACTTGGTCAGCCACCTGTTCCACCACTTCTCTCACCAAATCTGCCGTTTCTATGGTTTCATCCACTTGACCTGTGCATTTAACCATTCAATGTATATTCTTCTCATCAATCAAATCTGTTTGTGCATTTGCAAGATAGCATAAAAACCCAAGAACACAATTTAATGAGATTTTACTCACTCTTAAGGGCAAGCAGGGGTCCCCATTTGCTCCTGTATTTGAAACAAGGTAGAATCAAGGAAAAAATTATTGCCACCATCCACTTTTTCCTGTGGAGAAAGCAAGAATTCTTTCATTCATCCGACAACAGAAGAGAATTTTGTTGCAGAAAAAGAAATCATAACAAAGGAATTGTGACTAATTAGTACCATGGAAAGTTTGAGGATTTAGCTGAAGCAGGAGTTTCTGGTTCATTATTGTCTCCTGCTCTCATCACCCTTTGACCCAGCCATGAGTTGAGACAGAGAAGATATGAATATACAGAAAAGGGAAAGAAGAGAAGCGATTATTAGTGAAAACTTACATGGTGGCTCTGTGTCTAGCACTGGATATGAGCGGAAGATGATGCAGAAAGCTGGGGTTTTGCCGATTAATCATCTGAGGAACTTGATTGAAACATGGGCCTGAAAATCTGTGATAGTTATTACAGAAAGACAGGGAGAAAGATGGATGAAAGCACTTGAATGTATGCATAATTGAGGGTTGGTAAATGAAATGAGAGGATAAGGTTGAATGAAATGGGGCATGATGCTAGTGTGTTCTGTATATAATAATTTTTTAGTAGCAGTACTGCTACCCTTCGGGTGAAACAGACCAAAATGTAGCAATCAAGAAATTCGAGAAAAACAGACTGTTTAATGAGCAGATTTCTCTCGTGCTTAATCCGCAGCCATTAGAAAAGTGGATGCATCTTGAAAGGGAATTTTTGGGGGCGAACAATTTTGCTGATGAATGTGTGGGGGTCCAAGACAGGTAGTGAATTGTGTCTGATTTTGGTTTGTCCAAAATCAGATCAATGCGTTGAGAGTTTCGATAATTGGTCATCTATTAATAATTTAAATAATTTAATAATAATTTTATTTTAATAAAAATAAAATATTTAAAATTTGAGTGGTATTATATGTGGTAAAATGAGTTCAAAGAACAAAAGATAATTATATAATATTATGTAATAAAAAATTATAATATAATAAGAGAAAAATTAAAATGTTTTAATATTAAAAATATTAAAATATTTAATTATAATTACACAATAAATTTAATAAAATTAAAATTCATATTATATTTTATATAATTAAATATTTTAATATTTTTAATATCAAGACAACTTAATATTTCTTTTCTTTAATGATAAAGGATTTGTGTAACTTGTATATACCCTAGGAGCAATTAGAGATAACAATTTGCCTTGATTCCTGTGAGGATCCCCGCCACGGGAACAAGGCGGGGAGGGGACAGGAGGCACTTTCTCTCAATGAAATTTTGCAGGGAATTTTTCTCATCCCGCAGGGTCCCATGGATCCCCTTCTCCACAAAAAATTAAAAAAAATAAATTAATTTCATTTTAAATTTAATATAATTTTTAAATCCAATCCCAATTCAATAAAATTTAACCTAATTTTTTTCAACCCAACCCAACCCAACCCAATCCTTTTAACCCTAATTAACCTTATTCTGTTATTCATTTCTCCAGATCTCACTTCTCACACTGCCTTTGTCTCCTCTCACTCTCGGACTCTCTACGTCTCTCACCTAGGTCATCTTTGACCTTCCCCTTCGGCTCTCCCCTACAAATTGCGAACCTTAAATCCCCTGCTGCACCACTTCTGCGCCACTACTGCGTCGCTGTTGCACCACTGCTGCACCATTGTTGCGCCGTTGCTACATCGCTGCTGCTTAAAGTCAAAGTTGAAGTCGATCTATGGATTGCTGAACTGCCTCTACGACTGCTGCTGAACTGTCTCTACTATCGGACCACTCCACCTATGACTACAAGCGACAAATCCAAACAGTAAGAAGTTTAAATAATTTGTTTATGAGTTGATTTAACATAGAAAAAGTCTAAATTTTCTAGAATTTGCTAGATTCATTGACTGCTCATAGCCATTTCTATTAATGAATTGCCAAGTTAATTTCTTTACATATACTGATATACATATAACATAAAAAAGTGTAGTAACTTTTTAGTAAAATCAAGAAATTGAGAAAACTGTGAATGCTTGGCTGTCTATTTAATTTTTAGAGTTTATTGTGAATTTCAGTGAAATTGTGAAAGGGAAGAATTTTCATTAACCAGAGAAAAATTCAAAGTTTATTTTATATTTCAATGTAAAGATATAACTGTTTTTTTTCAAAATTTATTTTTAGATAATAAATGTCTATAAATATGTTAATATGAAGTATGTATTAATTGTATTGTAGGTTTTTTTTATGAGCAATTGTGGATTTTGCAAGTTAAGGTGTTTTGAGTTAGCTCTTAGCTGCCTCTCTTCATGCTTGATGTTGGTTTAATTATTTTATTTATGTTGGATTAATTTTTGCTTATATTTGGAATAAGTATGTTGTTTTATGTTAGATTAATCTTTATTTATATTTGGAACAGTTTATGTTTGGAGCAGCTTATATTTGATTAATTTTTATTTAGTTTGGAATAAATTTATTGATCTAATTATTTATGTTAAATTAATCTTTATTTATGTTTAATGTAAAATATATATATTTAGATATTAATTAGTGGGGAATGGGGGATTTCCGCGGGGATCCTTGTTGCCCGTTCTTTGCGAGGAGTTGGGATAGGAAGCAAAATTTGTTCTTTGTCAAAAATCTTTGTCTCCGTCATTTGCAGGGACAAGGACGAGAATGAATTCTCCAATCTCGTGGAGCCTTGTTAACATCCTTAAATACAATAAATATATATTTTTTATACTTAATTTATATAAAAAATAAAAAAATTAATTTTTATTTTAATATTATTATCACATGAATAATTTTAATTAATTAATTAATTAAATCTAAACTAATTATAAAAAGATGCATTAAATGATCCTATAACCTCAATGTTCCGTGGTTCTAGTCTTTTTTACTCCACCAGAAACATTGTTCACCGGCAAGAATTGTTGGATGGTCCAAATAAACAATCCATTAAAAAATTGTTGACGTTCAATCATATGCCAAACGTGTTCACAAAATACAATGAATTCGGCATATGAGACACACGTGGCCAGGACAACAAACGAATTGATGTCTAATACAAAAACAAAAAAGTTTTTTTTTTTTTTTTAATTTTATCTTGACGTAGATTTTTATGTTGAATTTTCTCAAAATTCATAATTTTAGCGAACACCAACATTGTAGGTATTAATAATGTCCCCAAGATTCATTCGGAATAATTTTTTTAATAAAAATAAATTTATTCACAAAAATTAAAAGGCAAGAGTTTCAAATCAATTCATATGATATAACAAATTATACACATTATAAAAACTAATATAAAAAGTGTAAAATATTTAGTTAAGTATATGATATTAAAGTAATTTAAGGATTACATAAATATTAAATCAAAACCAGTCCTTAATCTGATAGTGAAATTGTATGTTAGCATAATAAACTAAAATCTAAAGATAAAAAGGTAATTATTGAAATAATTTATTGTTAAAAGAATTCCGAGGCGATATATTCACCAATTACGTTTCTTACTCTAAACCTTTAGTGGAAAGGATATAAATAACAATAAAATCCATACGAACCACGCCCAGAAGGATGAATTCTTACAAAAGCCAGTCTTGTGGGGAGACAATAACCCTTGTAGAAAAACCTAAAAAAGTTAAACAAAATCATGACAAGAGGAGAGAGAAACATAGAATCAAAAAGGGAAAAAAGAGAAAGAAAGGATGGGTGACAAAGGGTCTGCTCCCCTCTATTTTGATTATTTAATCTAAATTTAGTTGTTTTAAGTTTACTTTGGCATAAAATTAGCTAGATAATTTTATATAATAAACAGATGATAATTGATTTATATATATAATTTTTCTTATTTCAATAAAAAAATTTATTTTATATGTATAAAGAGTATTCAAACTCATTTGCAATCCTTAATTACATATACTTCACCCAAGCATCGGAAACGATACTTAAGGCATAACCTAGCTGAGCACACCTCATACTTAAAGCCCATCACAAAAATTACAATCCTACACCTTACAACATAATTATTGCTTGCCTGGGCTATATATAATTTTTGTTAAATATTTTCATTAAAATAAGAAAAATTCAATTGTTATTTGTTTGTTATTAAAATTATTAAATTAATTTATAAAAAATTGAAGAAATAGAACAAGTAAAAAAGTAGTTTATGATTGCAAGTTTGCGACGCAAGAGTTAGCTAAGGTAGGGCGCTAAATTATGCTCTAACATTAGGACTCCAATAATCTAGTTGGTAAGGTAGAGATGGGAAGCTATGAACCCAAAAAAAAAGAAAAAAGAAAGGAGTGAGATCAAATAATGGAACTAGGGGTGAACAAATACCATTACAATTTGGATATAAACTAACTAAATATCTTCATTAAAAAAAAAAAACTAACTAATATCTAATCTGAAAAATTTTTGCTTCAAAACTTTAAAAACAAAAGAGAGAGAGAGAGAATTTTCTATTTAAGTTTTTGAAATTAGCATTTAACTATGGTTTTTTTTTTTTAACTTAACAATATGATTGAGTTAAAAAGAATAAAAGGGAGGGCAAGAAAAAATTTTTTCTTTATTTGGCCATCCAAAGATTTGGAGGGGAAGACAGGTGGAAAATTTCTCTTCTCTTTATTTTTTAAAATTTATTTACTTATCTTAATAAGGGGAAGGGAGAAGAGAGAGGAATTGGAGGGATGAAATTTTCCTCTTCTTCATTTTCCTTGATCTAAACATATAGTAAATGTTCATTAATTGCATATTTTTGTCATAAATTTACATAAAAATTTGAAATTAACTTTAAATTTATTAATTATCTAATTAAAATTATTCATGTGACATTAGTGTTAAAACTAATATTAGGATTACAACAATTAAAGGATTAACACTTAGTTTTTATTGAAGTTTAGCAAAAGTTTAGGAATTGTTGCTGTTTGCATTTGAAATTTGATTAATTAAACCTTTCTTTTAAAGTACAATAACGGACACATTTATCGGAAGGTGTCATTGAAGGGGTGATTTGCATCAATCTCCGGGTTTGAGGGCTTAGATGCTTGTTTTTTTTGGTTCAAGGGGTTACACGTTATTGTGGGTAAGTTGGAGGTCTTAGCATTGCGTTTTGCCAATCAAATGCTCAACATAATTCCACAATAGAGCAGTGCTAGCGGCACTCGCCCCCTGCACTCTCCGGCCAGCACTCCTCCTTTCATTGGGCCAGGTTATTTTAGTTAGCGAGAGATTGCCCTTCAGAGCTTAAACAACCTTACGTGGCCCAATGAAAGAGGGAGTGTTGGCCGGAGAGTGCACGAGGCAAGTGCCCCTAGCACTGCTCTTCCACAATAACGTTTACGCGGAAACGACTGCAATAAAAGTCCATTGACTATTGATTTTATTTTTTTAAGAGTTAGCATCTCTCTAAATTAATTTATATATATTTTAAAATTAA